CAATAATAGGAACCGCATGGTGTTCTGACGAAGTCATGCCATAATACGAGCGCTAAGCGACCATGCAACATGATGCGTGCGCTTTAATGCTGCAATTCGCCTTGATCCGTCTGAGAGCTGACGGAAAATCAGCACAATATGTAGGCCGTAAACTTCAATATACTGGCCTCTGAAGAACCCGACCAGCTACTCATTTAACATACTCTGGCAATTTTTATTAATTTGAGATAATAAAATTGCAAGCCCCTGTCCAAAGCAAATGATTTGTGTCAACTCGTAAGACGAGCTCTCGGTTCGTATCTTCCAATGACAGATGCGACGAGAACCATTATATATAAGCAGACCGTGTCCTTTGTAAATGTAGACACCGTTGCAACACTTGATAAATAAAGACGCATCTAGCGGCAGACGAAAGGGAAGGTGAGCTTGCGCCCAGTATATTTGGAGAATGAGACAGGTGAACGTAACGACGCTAAATAATTTCTCTGGCTGCGAAATCGCTACGGAATGAATTCCGTGCCGAATCAATTTCTACCTAACATGCTGCATTATTTCTTAAATCAATCAGTCAGAGCTTGACTTCCTAATGGGTGAGGCTTTGAATCACTTCAGCATGTTTCTTTTTAACCTATCGCTTATGCTCGTTCACTGTTATCCACTTCATTTAGTTTGTCAGTACTACCTCTTGGCATAACCGTTTCCTGTTTCTCTAACAAAATAAATGGCAATTTGCAGACCCAGCCAAGAAAGCATTTGCAGAATTACTTAATAAAGAGTGAAGTCTGATACAACTTTTATATACGTCGGATGTTTTACAATTTTCCAAATCTTTTTTAGGAATTTTTAACAAAATTTTTTATGACATTCAGGAATTAACACAACTGTTCAATTAGAATTAAAATGTACACATTTACTCGTGGTGGTGGGCTTTCTATAAACTTCAATCTTATAATTATTACAATTCATTATCAAAACAAAAAACGGAAGTCAGGATTTTTCTTTCAATAGTTAACTCAATATTTTGCGGGAAAAAGTTACTGAAAGGTCACCGTATGCTTCATCACGAAAAGGGAAATCAGGAAAACTTTAGGAAAAATCGGAACCACTTAGGATTCATTACAATGGCAAAATTTTCGTTTTTCTGCGAAACTTTGCGGTTGGATGGGAAAAAGTCGACTGCACATGGGCACTCACAAAGTTTGTCGAAAAATACACTACTGATGGAAATAATATTCGCTTTTGCCATACAAAACTTATTAATCTTAGAGATGACACGGGTGAATTACTTAATAACTTACTGTATCGATCCCCTAAGCGGATTTCACTTGTTTCTGTTCCATGAACAACTGGTGGGAATTTTTGTTGGATGGGTCATTTTCCGCAGTTAATTATGAAACCTGTGTGAAAAGTAGAATAGCAGACAACAGGCTAGAACGAAATGTTTCGTGTATTTTAGGCAAATAATAAAAGTGTTTCAAGTACTAACAACTGAAATTGAGAGGTGTTTGCACAAAGTTGAAGCACTCTGAGTAAATGCTCTTAAAAAGTATTCGAAAACGCTTTAAAAAGAACCCGGTAAAGCCCAAATCGACGTCGGAGGCAGGAGCCGATCTCCTGATGGCATTTGACAGTACAGGTAGTCTACCTTACCGGTAACCATCATGCAACTGCGCTTGAACAAATCTTTTAATTACAGTGTCATGCTTACTTTTATAACTGCAATGGCAGTGAATTCAAAACTTTCATACTGCATTCAAATATTACAACGAACATACTAATGAGAATCAATTACCTATCAGTGAAGCTGTCCTGCGAAGTACGGTCCTCTTAGTTTGCGTCGCAGAACCTTTTTTCAAAGAAGAAGAAAATTATAGGAAAAATCCATGACTACTCAAGCATGAAAAAGATTCTAGACCTTCTTCAAGGTAAAAAACGCACTGATGCTGGTGGTAGTCATTTGCAGGAGAAGCAACTTCAGGAGATTTTAAAATGATTTCCACCCTCCCTCAATTGGGGCATGCTACGTGGGTTGGGTTTCAACGCGCGACTATGGAAATAATTGAGCCCTCTGGTTTTCAGTCAGCCTTCTGTGTGGATTTGCCGAAAGAATCCGGCTAGAATCTGTCTTTTTCTGGCACCGAACCACCGCAAGGATGATCATAAGATTAAGTTGTTACATGGCAAACAAATACAGTCATTCAAAAACGTTGATGACAAGATTGTTTTAATGACCTTGCACCATGGAGTAGGATGAGATATATGCAACAGTTGACAATCTGACTCACGTGCGTCAGTACTGAAACGGATCAATCACCTTAAACCGTTTGCAAAAGCATAACATATCTAATCTGTGATGTCTACGGTACTCGCAGGTTAATCTTAGATGTATCAATCAGATTTAAACAAGATATGGTCATGTTCATCAGAATGATGCAGATCTAAGAACGACAAATGGATAATAAAAGAATAAAAACCAAGCGGATATCAAAAGCTACGTACTTCATTATGTATCGAGTTTTACCCATTACTTCGCCCTTCCTCAAAATAATTTGAGGGTGACGCCTTAGGTGCTCGTTTTTCCATCTGCCGTAGAGGCGATATCTGAAACAATATAGATTATGATATAACTTGCGTTGACTGTTTACTAGATGAAATATATCAAACTTAGTTACCGAGTAGCATACGGGAACTGCGAGAGCAGCAGCCATATTTCTTCAGAAATTGCGCAGTTGCATTTCAAAAGAGACAACGAAGGGATGATGACCTCATCGCAAAGGTCAACGATGGCCGAGTCATATGTTTCCATTTCTTTATTGCCTTTCGAAATCTAAAAATTAAAAAAGAAGTGCAAAATACTCTCAGCTTGGTCACCAATTTAAGAAGACAACGTACCCCATTGAAAACACTGCAACACAGTCGAATCACTTTGGTAAGAAGCGACGGACATACAGCAATATTCGGTCCCAAGTAATGCAATTTTGGAAAAACGGACCTCACAAAATCAGTAAAGCTTGCGCATCGCTTCAACTTGGTCAAGAAGCGTGAACCATAAGGAGAAGTAATAGAGGAATCGCTGGAATTAGAGATACAATATGACGTGCAATGCCTAAAAACATTCCGTAATTAACAACCTTACACAAATCACAATTAATGACAGTTTGCTAAATGACCATTCAAATGTTGCGCAGTATCCATACAGTAGTAACACAGAGTACAAAAACAGTTGTAATCTACAGCAATAGTAATACTAGCATAAAATTTACCTATACAATTATGCGTGTTAGGAAACTACCAGATTTCAATACAAATCAGAAGAAGTGAGAGGCAAATGTTATTTTTATCGGTGATATAAAAAACTAAACTTCGCTGGGAAACCTATACTACCGGGTTACATTCCATACTACTACTCGAGGTATACCCATTTGTGTTCGACCCAATAAGTGACTAAGTCTTAGGACAATGTACTCCTGAATGCCAAAATACCATGGAGTCGATACCTGCTTAAACGTTCCGCTAGGCCACCTGAACCAAACAGATGGTATGCGACGACATAGTAACAATTTCATTATCAGACAGAGCTTACAACTTTCTCAATTCGTGTAAAGTTTGGAGTGAAGGTCAGATTCTTCGAATACCTTAAGGCACTCAAGATATCTTTCATCGTTTTCAATTAGTTTCAGTTCAATATCTTCAGTAAAAA